ACATTTAAATATTTTAAAGCAGTCAGCTATGTGATGGATGGCCACCAGAATCAATCAGAGAATGCTGAAATATGGTCAAATGTACAATGGCCATGAAAATATATACAATGAGTGCATCCAACTTGATAAACTCATACAGACATAGCAAAGCTTCCTGAGGTGATGCCTCCCAAATTACGACAATTTATGATGTGTCAGTATTCATTCCAATGGCTCGGTCTTTCGACAGTGGGAAAGTCTTGCATCATAGAGATGTAGTATTAGTTAGGTCCGCAAGTGGAATTCACACGTGTGGAGTATTTTGCCTCAGAATGTATGATGTTAATGTCAACATAAAATTAAAAATGGATGTGAAAAGCAGAGTATTGATGCTATTTCAACAATGGAGACTGTTACTGACGCATCAGTATATATATTGAGTTCACCAATAGTGCATTTACACCGGTTGAATGCAGATAAATGACAATATTGAAGTACACCATATTATAACGAAGCATTACAGCAGTTTCACTGACCCCATCTGATCGATGGAAATAGTTTCTGACGCATTATTATTTATCTGATGGGGGCAAAATCAGCATTCCTAAACATTGTAGGTCCAACCTGTGCATAAATCCTTTGATGTTGTCTCAAGAATACATGAGAGAGATAATATACCTGACAGTCACCGCACCGATACAATTTCAAGGATGTTACCGTTTACTGACATGTCAGTATCCATATGCAGCATACCAAAGAAGCGAAAAACTCTGCTCCCATGTCATTTTCATGCATTAATCATTCATTGGACTTGATTTCCTCATTTTGAGCCACATAAATAGACCGTTAAAACACATTGAAATCTCAAAGAGGATGACATGAGTCATCTGAATAAGCAGGATTATGCAATGGCTTTATGACATTATGTGATGAGTCAGCAAAATTAAGCTGGATTATTCAATGAATTTATGACACCATTCCAACAAGCAGTCTCAGGATAGTTTTCTGCACATCATTTACAACTAAACATTCGACCAAAAAGAATCCACAAATTGAATGAGAAAGGAAAAGGTATATTTACTGACGCGTCAGTTAATGCAGGGTGAGCTCGAGACATGCTTTCCACATGAGATCACATACATTGGCATCACTAATGGACACTGAAATCCTTGCTCAGAGTGAGGTCTACATGCTCCAGAAAAGTCTTTATCTTTAAAATTAAATTATACGCTTGTCTAATGAACTCCTTTGTCGATGTAAAGCTCATAAAATGTGAGAATAAAGTCCAAATGATTAGGTATCAAATTAGCAGTAGGCCGTGATTGTTCGAGCCATGCTGTGAAGTTGTCCAACATTCTCCAATTCTTCCGAATAGGTCCCAACCCAAGACGTTCATGAATTTGGGACAAGATGGGAAATCGTGCTTTCGTGTTCCATACATGTAAATTTTGAGAACCAGGAGAGGAATCATATCTGGCACGGGATGATCAGGACAGTGATCAGAGTCTAGAGGTTGATCTCGAGGATGAGGAGGATGGTTGCACAGATATCGATAGAGGATCCAGCATTTACAACAAAACGGCCAATATAGCTGCCGTCCTAATTGTTTCTTCCGAATTAGAGGAAGCAGCTGTTCAATATCATTGTGATTGTCATGAGAGTGTGCTTCCTGGCAGTGCCACCCCATAAAGTAATATGAGATGCATCCGATGGAGACTATCTGCTCCAGTATTTTCACAATCTTCAGAAGCTTCTGCTCCCTCTGCTGTGCTTGAGCCTTCAACAGTTCCCTGGCGCTCAATGGAGTCATGGCAAGTGATATGGGTTCAACTTGCTCTAGTTCTGCCTGGTAAGTGAGTTCTTGAAGTATGTGGACATCCTGAAACTGTGAGGCATTTGTTAGCAGAAACAATGGACTAACACAAAAGATGTCCTACCTCAGACATCTTGTTACAATTATCACACCTCTCCGCATTCATCGCATAGCAAGAATGAACATGGGGATTTAATGTCATATCACGCCACTCACCTACAGCTTCTGGTAGTAAGAAATTCCAACATGGGGAGAACACCGACGTGAGGGTCAAGTTTGGGGTCTGCCAGAAACGGTTTCTTCTGCCAAAGCATGTATGAAAAATATGGATCCCCATCATGACCTCCCCATCCACTTTCTTGCAGGTAGAACATGGCAGCGCATGGATCAACATGTACCACCACCCTGACAAGTGCATAATCCACCCCTGCTCCAAATGCCTAAGTGCAACACAGCCAGCGGTGCCCAGGTTCTTTGCCCTTTCACCATGCATCCACAATGTCAGCTTTTAGCACATTGTTCATCACTGGATCACCTTGAACCATCTCTGCATGGTAGGATGCAAGACCAAGCTTAGCA